CATAACGAAATTTACGGAATGGGTTACCCCATAGTAACTACGTATCCAGCCAAATAAAATGACTGGCTGAAGAAGTGTAGCGAGCAATCGTTATAAAAAATGATAACATACGGTATACGTGAACTTGGTATCAAAATCGTAAAAATGGGTGGTGTCGCAGAGGTCGAAGCCATAATACCCGCTAGAGCATTTCGTAGAACTGAGGTCACCGAGTTGTTCTCGTACACCCCAACAAATCAACTGCAAATCGAGTTGGTTGTACACTACAAATTCCACGGCCAGCGGATTTTGTGATACAGTAATCATATTCATTGTCAGTGAAATAGAGGAAACACGGAACGACGGAGAAAATGGTCTTCTAAATGAGGTGGGATTGTGGAGTGCGTCACATGATTACGGAATATGTCAAATGCTGGCCTGGGCCCTCGACCAGGCAAGGCTCAGGCTAGCCTGGTAGAGGCAGGCTGGATTACTGTATCACAAGATCCGTGAAAGCTAAAAACAGACTACAGAAGATCTTCAACATTTAAAATTCCATCTACACCAATCTATCGTACACACGGCCTTTGAGAGGCAAGCCTAATGTGTTTACCTTGGACATTTGTAGAATCTTGGGTGTATTGTAAGCACATAGAGATTTCTAGCAGGGGATTACCTCAATCTCCTCCTGCAAGTGATACCATTGAGCACTTAACGGTACCCTTATTTGTCCTATAAGGCTTGAGCTATGGAACAGCAGGGCTGACCAGTAACTTCAAGCATATGGATATCCTTCTGGGTAGAGATGAGGACGTGAGATCGAGAAAATGGATACGGTCATCAGTATGGATCGCGAGTTTACCAAAAATTGTAGGTGAAACATGGAAATCATCAACAGAGCCCCATTTTTGCTGTTGGTTTCCAGGGAAGCACGAGAACAACTCCCATTGTTGCATGTCTCGTTATATCTTACCATGCCTAGACCCCTAAATTACTTTTGTATAATGAGTGAAGACGTCCGATTGGGGGCGTACATATGTCCTGACTGGCAGCGTCAAATCGAATTCAATGCAGTCTGAATCTTTTTATGCGCTTTCCGAGAGTACTCAAGACAGAGTGACAGTTTGAGCGGATCAATCCAACTTGTGAATATTTTCCAGAAGTTAAGGTAGGAATTATGGGATCTTTCAGGAGTATGCCAAGATCTACCGTATTCCGATACCCACTTCTTACTAGAAGCTGTCGCCTCCTCTGGAGCAAGTGGGCATTATTTTTGTTTTTTCTTACAGATTTTCAAACTCAAAGAAACCTCGCCACTGATCGATTTTGCAGTGAAGACATTTTTCGACGGAGTATGGTACATAGGTAAAGCCGACAACGGTGGAAGAGCATTGATTTCTCTGATCGATTCCACAGAAAAGTCACGAAGTTGCTGCAACATTCACAAGTTTTTCTATATGTACGCCATATTTAGTAGAGGCTATGGCCGAGGCCATAAAGGAGGTTATTTGATGAACTATCCAACGAATCTGCCAGTCTTCCAGTTGGACAAACCTCAAAAACTGGGCAACTCACGTAAGGGTCCTGGTTCCCAGAAGAGCTTGAAGATGTGAACCGATCTTGATCGAACCCTACGTTGGAGACATCCGACATCGAATAGGGTCCATGAACGTTACTGTCGTGAGGCTAAATGAAGGAATGAATAAAAACGCATGTTATCAGTTTTACATTTCCATCCCTACCTCATTCCCAGAGGCGAAGCGATGTTGGGAAGAACCACGTGGACCCGGTTCAGGATAGTAGCCAGGCTGCTATAAAAATTGACAATCAATTCAATAGCTCAGAAGTTGTCATCTTCTGCCATGGTATTCACAGCTTGAAAAAACTTCGGTATCGATCGACCTTGTTGAGGGATGCGCCCCGCATTTCACCTCCGTTCGAAATCGCTATAGCGCATTATATGCGTATGTACAGTAGCGATCAAAAGTCTTCGTTGAAATGGTTCTTCAGCTGTACTTTCTAGTCGTAATTCGTTTCCTACTGGACCCAGTCATGCCAAATTTCTATATTTGGAGCGTGGGTGTATTGTGAATATTTACCACTATTAAGCTGCAATCTGACCATGTTCCAGATATTCCAAAGGGCTTGAAATCAAAATCGACTGAAAATACAGATGANGCCGAACACAATAGATGAGAAAAACGCACATAAGGTGCGAATAAGTGCAGACTTTAACAACTTCACTTTTAGCAAAATCTGCTACCGCAACAAACACCTTGCTCCACCTGTGGATATTGCAGCCTCGCAGTCAAATAGTGTTGGGTAGAGTGAAATATGCTCTAGTTAAATATATCCAAATTTTGCGCGATTTGGTCTACTAAGAAAAAAGTTCTGAACGAAAAAGCGTTAAAGCATTTCACCGAAGACTTTTGAGCGCTACTGTATGTGGTCTATAGTATGGGTAGCCGTGGCCAGCCATTGTACAAGTCAGCGCATTTTCCTCCCGAGCCAACCAACGAAACATCCCATCTATCTCGATCAGTTAACTGGTATCAGTGTGATCAGGGAGGAGAAAAGAGCTGACTTGTAGAGGCCGGTCCGAAGCCACTGCATAGGCCATATAGGCTCTGAAACGTCACTACTACTTCAAGTGGATGCGGTGGGCGACGGTACGTCCCAAGACATCTGACTAAAACTTTCATGAAATTTTCTATTTTGAAACGAATATAGCGTAACTTACCATTGGCGGCATACGATGGTGGTGCCCATAGGGAGAAGCAGGATGCGGTGGCGCCATAGGGTGCATTGGAGCTGGAGGATACTGATACCATTCCGGAGGGTAGTGGTATGGGTGACGATAGGCATGCGGATGCATCTAGAAGCTATTTCAATAAAATATTAGCAAAAGCTGTCCCTAGCCATATCTTTGAGCCAGTAGCCTGACTCTCGCCTTGACTGACCTACAGTACTTGATTTTGTAACAAACTAGTACCACTAAGAAATTCAGATACGATCAGCCAGCACCAGGTATAAGCAGAAGATTTTTAAGAGTAACCTGAGCTGGGGGTGGCATAGGAGCCATATGATACTGTGGATAAACATAAGCAGGCTGCATATACGGTTGAGCATACGGCGTGTAATCGTAGTCGGAATGCGTCTAGAAATGGATTCTCTTCTGCAAGTTATAGGTATACTCGGGTCTGGGAACTTCTCCCTGAAGACGGCATCGCGCACGCCGCACCCGCCGCGTATCGCAGGATTGCGATGGCAGATTGGAGCGCGCAATTTGTGAGGTAGGGAGTCCTTTAATTATTTGAATTGGCTGACCGCTCTCTTCAATTTCAATGCANAAATGGATTCTCTTCTGCAAGTTATAGGTATACTCGGGTCTGGGAACTTCTCCCTGAAGACGGCATCGCGCACGCCGCACCCGCCGCGTATCGCAGGATTGCGATGGCAGATTGGAGCGCGCAATTTGTGAGGTAGGGAGTCCTTTAATTATTTGAATTGGCTGACCGCTCTCTTCAATTTCAATGCAATCTTGATCGTCGCTTACATAGGACGAATCATTCTAATTAATCAAATCTAATAAACATAAAAATAAAAAAGAAATAAAAAACGATCAAATCTAATAAAAAAGAAGGGCAATCAACGAAAAATTCCGCGTCCTATCGATTGGCGGGGAGGTGGGGGAAGTACGGTAGTAGTTGCAGTGACATTTGCCGCATGCCGCAAGGGAGAATGCCGCGATCGGAGAGAAGTTCCGTTACCCGTATTACTCGCGTGGTAAAGTACTTACCGGTACGTATCGAGTTGGTTGGCTGTACGCCGTATAGTCGTAAGACGAATTGGGCTGTAGATGATTCCTTATTATAAGAAGGGACAACCACGTATACGATCGACTGAGGACACTCACCAGCGTATAATGAGGGTGTTGGGGAGAATAAGAGTGATGTCCAGAACGTGGTGAAGTAAAGCGATAATCCTAAAAGTAGCAGTGACTTTAGCGACCGTTTCTACTAGATCTAATGGTTAGCAAAATTTCAGTAGTTCTCCTGAAATTTTAGGCGGAGGTAGTACTTTTGTGCCGAGTGGGGTACTATCATACGTTTTATCCGCCAAGGGACCAACTAGATACGCCTTCCCACTCCCTTCCCCACCCCCATGCCTCTCGCTCCCCTCAAGCCGACTGCGCCTACGGTTACGGAGGTAATAGTGATCTGTCACTTTGTATGGACCAACACTTAGTCATATGCTTGCCGTCTCATCAGCCTCAGGTGTTTTCAACTCAAACGACTATTACTTACCGGCGAATGAGAGGACCAGTTGTCAGGATGGTCGAAAGCGTAGTGGCTTGGCATCTACAGAATGACTATTTAAAGAAATGTATGAGCTCGACCAAATGTACAGTGAAATTTAAAGATTGAGGATTAAAGTAAGGTACAAAAATCCTACATTCCTGCTTTGGCCCACCCCGTAGACATAGTCACTTCTCTGAAATAGCATTATGAACACAAGTCAGGTGGATAGCGCCAAGGCTTACTAACCATTGGAAGAGGTGATGCAGGTGTAGATGAACGATGTCTCTGAAATGATCAGTAGGGCGATTGAAAACTACCAGAAGCTATTATATCAAAAACTCGATCAAAATCGCTTCCATCAGAGACAGAAATTGACAATCTTCCCCTGCCACGGAAATGTTGGAAGATAAAAGATGAGGGTTAAAGTCTTGAGGCGTTGATCAATCCCGTCAGAGGACAGAGGGATGCTCCCAAGCATTCGGCTTCCATGCAGAATCGTAGGGACGTATTGAATGCGACCCCGGAGAAAAGGAAGTCTTTGTTAGCCACGCGGTGGTCGATCCGGGAATCGAACCCGTGACTAAGCGTGTGTGAAGTGCACCACT